CCTTAAATTCTTTGGTTCTATGAAAGGAGACAAGGTGTGGGACAGGAGTGTCTTGTTTCTGCTGCCTGCAAACACCTGAACTTAAGAGACCTATCAAAGTAATACCCTGAGGTTCTTGTGGAGCTTAAAGTGACTTGTACTAAAGAGTCTTTATTAAAAACACAGGCTGTAATTTAATTATCCACCCTGGATACAAATATAAGAGATCATATTATGAAGCAGAAGCTAAGAAATTAGAATCTAACTCTGAATTTCAATTCACTAATACACAGACTAAGTTTGAAATTTTTTTAACTTGCCCATTTTTTTCTTTCCACTGTTCTTCACCTGTGCAGAAGTGCAGGTGCAGCATATTTCCTGTGCCTATGTATGCTCCTACACCTCAGATTAAAACTAATTTAAGGGACTATGAAGTGATTCATTGAAGCAAATTCCTTCTTGATTGTAAGATAGCAATGGAATGAAGTATAAATAGTTAATGTTTCCTGTCAGCAATCAGGTTTTGCATCCCTTTTTCCTGGTAAAGTTCTGTCACATCTGTTAGAGAACCTAAGAAGTTCCCGAACACTGTTGACGTTTTTGGCATGGTTTGCATAGACTGTGATTGGATTAAGGTTCTTTAGCTTGATCATAGTATGTCTCACTGGGTGGTGCTTACCACAGGAGATTTCTGTCCTGTTCTGCTGAAGAAGCAAATTATTTTCTTACGTGAAATGAATCTAAAGGTTACATTACTTTTCTGAAAATACTGTGACTGGTCAGGATAGCTAAACTGGGCTTGAAAAAACGTTGGTGTCTGTGTTAATCAGCTGAGCCATTGTGTGCAGGCCTTCATGTCTTTGTAAGGATGAATGAGAACATTTTGGGGGTTGTTTTTCTGGGGGTTATTTTTTATTTTGGTGGGTTTTTTCAATTTTTAGTTTTGATTTGATAAGTGACTCTTAGAAGTGTAAAATGCAAAGATCATTTCTGAAAATAAAATGTCTGTTTTAAGCCTATCAAAGCAATTTTGGATTTTAGGAAAGGGATTGCAAGAGATTGTTCTCATCCTAACTAACTAACCTGCTGACTCTTCAGTAATTACTGCCAATAAACTTTTCCCAGATTACAGTTAGAGTATATTGGCTAATTTCAGCATTGGGGGCTTTTTTTTAGGGGAAAAAAGCCAAATTCTTTAGTAAGAATTGAGGGTGAAGATTTTTGAAGATCTCCTAAAGTTTTCCCCTTCCTTTACCCAGTGTCTGTCAGGGTTGATGGGAGATCTTTGCTCCTGGGGAGTCTCTGTAGGTTTCATATTTGGTTTAGACATTTCAAAGATGAATTTCAGGTAATTCCTTTAACTTTTCCTTACAGAGTTTTAACAGGAAACTTGAAGGCCTAGTTTAAATTCTTATGAAAAGAATTGTGACAGAATGCACTTGGGAAATTCACAGGTTTGTACATTGTGCCTTTGCCATTACAAGGCAGTGTAATGGTTATGTCTGCCCTGACCCTGGGCAGCTTCAGTCCTTTTTTTAATGAGGGCAATTAATTTCTAGCTGTCACAAAACTGAAATGAAGTGCACCCATGTTCTTCTGTTAAACTGGATAAATGAGAGAATAATAAGCTGCTTCTGTGAAAACATGCCAGAGGTTTTCCAAAATAAAAGGTTACCATAGTAAAACATGAAATTGTTTTGTGGCTTGTTCCTATACAGTGTGCAGCCACTTCAAAGATGGTCTGTAGTCAGGGAAAATGTAAGTATTTTCCAACACAAAAAAAACTTGGGAAGGGGATTAGGTGCTGAGAGATACACTTCATGTGAACAATGGAAGAATTATCTCTGATGTCAGAAGTCAGAGCTATGCTCCCTGGAGTTAGTAACTGCAGTTCAGATGGGATTTTTCTGGGGAAATTAAACCCCAAACATAGGGTTATCTTGATATGGATTTGAATGTTTGTTTTCACTGCTCTGTTTCCCATAACAGGGAAGAAGAAAGCAATGCCAAAGGAGGTGTATGGAAAATGAAGGTCCCTAAAGCAAGTACAGTATGTTATATTGACTTTTTACTCAGACCTTGTTTAGTAAGGGAGTATCTTTTAACTCTACCTGATAAAGCTGTTGTAAAGATTTTTACTTCTGACATCACCCAACACAACAACCAAATGCTATTTTTAGCATCCATAACCTTTTATTTACAACAACGAGCAAAAGTTCCTTTTCCACTAATTCCTTATCTCTCGCTTTAGATAACATTTGGTGATGTAGTATCAAACAAATAAAATCTGCAGAGTTTCCATTTGGAAACGTGGTAATTTATTATCACCTTTGTCCCTGGGACTGTTTGGTTACAGGCATACAAAGAAAAACAGAAAAAATCTTTTCCTGATAATCTGTGCTAAATTGTAGCTCAGTAACTCTCTTCAAGTCCACACACACACAGTCCAGCACAACATTTATGAGGAGAGGCTGAGGGAGCTGGGGGTGTTCAGCCTGGAGAAAAGGAGGCTCAGGGGAGACCTTATCACCCTCTGCAACTCCCTGACAGGAGGTTGGAGTCAGGTGGGGGTTGGTCTCTTCTCCCAGGCAACCAGCAGCAGGACAAGAGGGCACAGACTCAAGCTCTGCCAGGGGAGGATTAGCTTAGATACTAGGAAGAGATTTCTTAGGGAGAGAGTGATCAGTGATTGGAATGTGCTGCCCAGGGAGGTGGTGGATTCACCATCCCTGGAGGTTTTTAAGATGAGACTGGATGTGGCACTCAGTGCCATGGTCTAGTGACCACAGTAGGGTTGGACTTGATGATCTTGGAGGTATTTTCCAACCTGGTTGGTTCTATGATTCTATGATTCAGAGTTTCACTGAAATGCTCCTAAACTCTCTGTCAAACTCTGTAGGACTATTTCTGCTTGTCTGTCCCTGTGATGGCTCAGAGTAACCTGTGCCTTCCTGTAATCAAACATGGCCCAAGGTGTTGTTTCCTAATAGCCAATATCTATGCCCCTCCTGGAAGGAGGAAGATCTTGCTCATTCTCTCCTGATCCCTCTCACACTGTCTCTAGTGCTCATTGGACTGTTCAGTTTCAGCTCAATGCTTTGTTGCCACAAAAAGTCTCCTGTTCGTTTCGTTTCTAATTAGAGTGTTGGGCCAGGAGAGTTTTTTGATAGGCATAAAGGAGAAAAAACAAGTAGGATCATCCCTGTTCAGCAACAAAGAGTTGTCAGAGCACCTTGTGTACACTTTGGGAAGATGCAGTGCTGCTAAGTTCTTTTCCCTTTTTTTGTTTTTATAAATTGAACTAGGTGAAACATGAAATCTGTTCAGGCATATCATTGTTTGAGCCCTGCTGAAATAATTATTTCCCTTCCCAAATGCATATGAGTAATTTCTCCTGTGAACTGCCATGGTGAGGAGATTCTACCTCTTCTCACATGGTGTTTGTGTGTGTGAGTGTGCTCTGGATCAGGCCTTTAAACACAGAAAGTGAAGTGTCAGAAAAATGTGACAGCCTTGCAGAAGGCATTAAATGCTGAAAGATGGCACTCGAAATTTCAGCCAAAAGTTAATTGATTTTTGCCTGTGGGCTTTTTCCCTGTGTGTGAGCTGCAGCTTTCCTCCCCTGCAGTCCCAAGTGATCACAAACGACTGAAATTGTCTTTTTCCTCTTATAATCCAAGGTGTGAAGACTGTCAGAAGTGACAAGTGGTTTGGGGAGCCTGCATTACTGGGCAGTGAATTTAGGGACCCCAGAGGCCTTGTTTTTCAGAGGCTGAATGACAGCCCCTTTCTGAAATGAAGGTACTTTTGATCTCTCAAACTGCACACCCCATGGCTCCGGTCACTTCTGAAAGGTTTGCTTGAAGGTGAACTTCAGTCAGCTTTCTGTGCCTCTGTAAATAGCAGAAATAATACCTTTATGCCTGTTTCTCTTTTTTTTTTTGGCTTCAGTCTTCATCACATGTGTGCACAGCATCTCCTTGGCTAAGATGAACCATCTTGTTACAGACCTGGCAATTAATTATTTAACACAGCATGTACTTACAGTAAATACTCTATTTTTTTTTGGTCTAGACAACCTCAGAAGGAGAAGACACTCAAAACTGAGCTAGCAAACTCAATTTTTAAATTAAAAAATAGCAATTCAAATGTAACACTTTGTTTTTTCTCCTCCTTAGGCTGCAGTTTGGAAAGAGCTACTGCTAGCAACCATTGGAGAGCAGTTTACAGATTGTTGTGCAGCAGGTAATGATTGAGGCTAGTGTGACAAATTGAGTTTGAATACAGAAAATGGAAATACTGCAAAGAATGAGGTCTAGGGCTGGAAATCATATTCATTCCTGCAGTCATTAAGAAGAGGACAAGGTATTCTGACTACCTTAGCACAAGGCTCAAGCTCAACAGCTTGCATCTCTGGGAAGCCAGCAGGTTTTCTAGCTATTAAATATCAATCTGTTAGCCAGGATTTAAATGATTAATATTCATTCACCAGTGTCAGGATTCTGGAACCCCAAATGGTGCTTCCATACAGATTGTTTGTACTGTCACTGTTGGAAGCAACTAAATTAGATCAATCATAGAATCACAGAATGGTTTGAGTTGGAAGGGACCTTAAAGATCATTCCAGTTCCAATCCCTTAGCCATGGGCAGAGGCACCTTGCACTAGACCAGGTTGCTCAGTGCCCCATTGAGCTTGCCTTGAAGAGATGCTTCCATTATCCCTCGTGGTCCCTCTGATTAGGAGTTGTCAGGGGAAGCAGCACTGCAGACCTGAAGCAGAGGGACACTGTGTGGTTTGCTTGTGGTGACATTAAATGCCCATAGCAGGGCCATAACACAAACCTGGCTCTCCTGAGTCCCAGGCTAGAACTCTACCCAGAAACAATATTTTCTTTATTGCTTAAAAATACTGCTTAGGTCAAGGTAATCTTTAATGCAATTGAATTTACATAAATATTCTTTAAATACTTTGCTGGTTTACTGGAAAATGGGCATTAATCATCCAGAAGCTCATGTATGATTTTGGTCAGAGGTAATAATTTAATGAAGTCCCTTTCAGAATAAATATCTTATCTAGGCTTGCAACATTTCTTGCAAGGAAAAGAGTCCAGGAAGGGACTGTAAACACTAACTGCTTTAAAATAAATCATTCAAGGCAACTTCTTAGTCATGAAAAGCAAGTACAAGTCTGACCGTTTAGTTCATTAAGGCTCTGTTACAGAACAGTTTCTTGCTTCTGGGTGAAGGGAATGATGAACTTACTGATCCATTGGCCTAGACGGAAGGTGCTCTGGGAGCTGTTACTAAACTAACTTCTCGGTTCAAATGACACTTCTCCATCATTTCTTTTGACTGTATTTAGTTCCCTCCTGAGCATGACTATCTGGTTAAACTGACCAGTGATGATGAATATTCTGGTTGGAGTGTTCCTTCACTGCTCTGTCATTCCTTAAAAAATAACTGTTTCTTGGGTTACATAGAATCATAGAATCAACCAGGATGGAAAATACCTCCAAGATCATCAAGTCCAACCCTACTGTGGTCACTAGACCATGTCACTAAGTGCCACATCCAGTCTCATCTTAAAAACCTCCAGGGATGGTGAATCCACCACCTCCCTGGGCAGCACATTCCAATCACTGATCACTCTCTCCCTAAAAAATCTCTTCCCAATACCCAACCTAACCCTCCCCTGGCAGAGCTTGAGTCTGTGCCCTCTTGTCCTGCTGCTGGTTGCCTGGGAGAAGAGACCAACCCCCACCTGACTCCAACCTCCTGTCAGGGAGTTGCAGAGGGTGATAAGGTCTCCCTTGAGTCTCCTCTTCTCTAGGCTAAACAACCCCAGGTTTGCAGAGCAGTTCAGCAAAAACCTTTGAAACAGCGACTCATATCCCCTTTATATACTGATAGGGTTGTCTTGGGGTCACTTGGAGCAAATATAAGATATTCTGCTGCTTACAGAGATTCCCCTTGGCCATGTGCTTTTGGCACCACCCTTGCACTATCATTACTGACCCCTTCCTTAGGATGCACAGGGCAGCTGTGCCCTGGAGCTGCCAGCTGGAGTCACTCACTGCTCCCAGCTGTGACCTTTGAACTCTCCACAAAACTGCAACCCAAGGGTTTCACACCAAAAAGAGCTTCTTCAGCAAAGCACAGAGTTACCAGCACTAGCAGAAGCCTGACTGGGACTCTATTAATTTCATTTATTTTTCTTTTTTTCTGTTGCTGCCTTGACAAAATGTAAAGGAAAAAGTCTGGAAAAGCTGATGTCTGATCTCCACCAGGTACTGTTCCTGGGGTTTTAGTTGTTTCCCTCTCATCCTCCCATTTTTGTTGTAGGCATTACTGTAGGTAAGTTAAGTTGAGTAATTTATATTGCTGACCTGACTGAAGGGACTTTTGTGATTCCCTCCTAATCAAGTGTAAGATTCCTAACAGCAAAGATGAATAATCCCATGGCACTTTATTAAAGCCACTATGAGGTAATATTTCCAAATAGCTTCTATAAACACAGAGTTTCTTTCTGGTAACTACTTTGTCTGGTTTGAACATTGGTATTTTCCTCACTGGAGATTACTCTATTTTTTCATGTCTTCAATTTTTTTTCCCAGCATTTGGGCACTGTTTCATAATGCATAAGTAGCAGATTAGACATGTCTCACTTTTAAAGTATTCCTTAATGATTCTTCCCCTTCTGTGCAGATGATGAAGTCATAGGGGTCAGTGTCAGCGTTCGTGACCGTGAAGATGTTGTGCAAGTCTGGAATGCCAATGCCTCTTCAGCAAGCGAAGCAAAAGTTGTAGAAAAGATCCACAAACTTCTGCCACACACGTCTTTTAAAGCAGTCTTTTATAAATGTAAGTGTTTTGTGCTGCTGATTTCCACCTTCATTAGAAAACCAAGATGCTGGTAGGGTATTTCCAGGGGAATATCCTTCCTGATTCATCGTTAATCACTTAGGAATGTAGCATCTGTCACTGCATTGCAATTATGTCCCTTTAACATAAAAATTAGCTATCATTCAAAATGCCTTTTTAGTCTGATTGTAGGATATATTTGATTTCATGTTTAATATGTCTGGTTCATAAAGTGAGTGAGACAAATCTCCTGATAACTCCCAAGGCTATGTGCTCTTCGATTTAAGTATTCATTTAGAGGAACCATTTACAGTCAGGATTTTCAGGGATCTCATACTTTAGGCTCTCTGTAAATGTCTTATCAGAACAGTGTATTCCCAAAGTTCTGTCATTGGGATGTTGTGTCTTCCTTCACTGAGTTAGACATTGTTGTCTTCTCTTTTTTTAATCTTTTCAACTTCTTGACAGAGTTTGTATGTTCTTTTATTCTTTTTTTTTTCCTTCTCTCTTCCCTAGCCCACAGAGAGCATCATGCTTTTGAAGGCTGACGTGGTGAACATTAAGTGCAGAGTGTGCCAAGTTGTTTTACTGCTACTTGGTGTTTTGAGGTGGTCAGGACAAGGAGGAGGATGGTGGAAGTCCTGCAAAAGTGCTGCACACAGTTGGTTTTGAGTTTCTAACATGTCAGACTTGAATATTGCTAATGAAAATGAGGAAAAACAGTTGCCTTGACCACAAAACGTGCAATTCATTATTTCTTGTTGTGTTGCTGTTTTTAATTCTCCATTGTTTCTTAAAAAAGATATTATAGCCAGTTGTTTTTTCAACTAGGTTATATTTGTTCCCATTTCATTAAAACACCAGGCTTTCTTTTCTTCTTAGTGAAAAGCAAACCTGCCCAGAGCTGCTGTGCTGCTTCTCCTAGATGTGCTGTACGTGGAGGAACACTGGCCTGGGGAAATGTGTTTTCAGTTTTCACTTTGAGACATTCCTATCATGTTAAGATTTACTCACTGGTTTTGTCCCAAGAGAAAAAGAAATTGCACTGCATTTATTCTAATACTCAGCCTAATCTGCTCTTGCACTAACAAGAGCACACACACTGTAAATGTACACAGGAAAGGGTTCATTACCCAGGCAACTACAGAGAGCCACATTTCTAGTGGGGCTAGCCCTGTGAGGGATGATGTTGATGCCTTTTGGTTTATTGATTTTAGAAGAGCCTGGTGCAGGCTGGAACGAGACAGGTTTCAGTAGGAAGCCCTGCACACTCCTCACCCTCTTCTTTAAGCAGTGATGAGGTTTTTGTGTTGTGTGCTTCCTCATGGTGCTTTTCTGTACACTCATGAAAAACTTATGAATTATTTCTAATGAACTAGACAAACTGGATCCATCCCTCCCACTTCCAGGAGTACTTCAGGGACACGTCTGCACCCACTAGGTCAGTGTCAGAATTGCTGTTGACTTCAGTGCAAGGGAAGAGATCCCACTGTGTGTACTTTTAAGCCATCAAGACTTCCTAAGTGACCTTTTAAAAACAACCAAAAAACCACAGAAAAGAAATTTATTTTGTGTTGCAGAATGAGTAGGAGATATTAGGAAGAGATTTTTTACAGAGAGAGTATTTAGGCATTGGAATGTGCTGCCCAGGGAGGTGGTGGATTCACCATCCCTAGAGGTTTTCAAGCTGAGACTGGATGTGACACTTAGTCCCATGGTAGGGTTGGACTGGATGATCTTTGAGATCTTTTCCAACTCTGTTGATTCTATGATTCTATGATAAACAGTGTTAAAATGTTTGTATTAACTATTTGAGATGTTTTAATGTCCTTCCAAAGACTGATGTAGTTCCTTTTACAAGAAGAAGCTGCAAGGTAGAGATGAACATACCACTGAGCACTCCTTCATAATTCTGAGGTTTTTGTTTGGTTCCAGTTGTACTGATTTCCACATCTTTACTATATTAACAGCCATAAAAATAAAATAAATTAAAAAATAAGTGTCACACGTGAGATTTTTTTTATTTACAGCTTGTATTTATGGATTTAAACTGTGCAGTTAATAAGCATTATTAATTAAACACATTTTCTAAAATCCAAATGTCACTTCTGTAATTAGCTGCATGTTGACTATCAAAGTCCACATTACAAATTGTTGTCAATTTTTCATTATTCTAAATCTCTGGTCTATAAAATTTGAGAGGTTTTTTTTCCCCCATATGGCTTAATTCTGATGATGGTTGTTATTATTACTTAGAATTTGGGTCAATGGATAACTTCTTGGCTAAAATTCTGCATGTTATATGCCACAATTCACAACTGGGCTTGGTTCAAACTGGGTAGTGCAAGTTCACAGGAACGTGACAAATTGCATATTGGAATTTTGCAACCATTGATTTAAAGACTTTGTAGAACTTTTGAACTGTCCTTTCATCCCTACATCTGATGCTATGTACTTACACTGAATGATGCTGAACGGTTAATTTTGTTACCCTCTTAAATATTTATTATTTTCACCTGGAGATTTGCTTTATTGAACTTGATTAAATGACACCCCCCCACACTACCTTCGAACTTGCCTAATTTGTTTAATCAAAGGAATGCCTACACCTTCCTATCAAAATTAGTTTCTGCTGACGTTTCAATGTAAAATTAAAACATTTAACTGCCATGGTGACAGCAAAGAAACTCCACATCAGCTGAATGAAAGAAACCTGCTTCCCTCTTGGGGTGGGAACAAGCCCTCCCTGGTCCCTCCCACGCTAGGATGGTGTCCTTGGGCTCTCTCCAGAAACACTGAAGCCTTTCACAAAGCTGGAGCCCTTGTCTCCTTTACCCAGGCTGTTTCTGTGAATTTTGTAGGAACCTCATGTCCTTGGCACAATTGTCCTGCCCCTAGGTCTGCTGAGTGTGGAGTTACTGTCGAGTGGGGATTGTCCTCTGTCCTGGAAAGCCAGGTGAGATAAGAGGTAAGAGAGAGCTCTGGTTGGACTCAGAAAGGTTTGTAGCACCCTGTGAAAGGTGCTCACAGCATCCTCCTGGGGAAAGCTTTAATGCTCTGTGGTGTTGAGTGGAGGATGGTTGGGAGCTGTTTGAAGAGCTTGCTGGACTCTTGCCCAGGCACAGGCATGGGCTGCAGACAGAGCACACAGGGATGCAGCCCAGGGATGCAAGGGGAGCAGCAGCCTGGGGAAGAGGAGGTGCTGGCTGGGCTGCAGCTGAAGCCACTGGGGCAAATGGAGCCAGGATGGACAACTGAGAAATGAACAGCTTTTTACTTCCGTGAGTTACACTTGTGTTTGTCTGCACCTTCCCAGGGCTGAAGGCAGGGGCTGAGCTCTCATTGCTCCCTCCACCTTTGGGGACATCTCTAGGAGCTCTCTGGGGCTCCCCAGGCTGTAACAACTGCTGCTGGAGAGATTAGTTGGGAATTTCACTTCACAGGGATGAAGGGCTGTCTTCTGGGGCTGGCTAATTAGCAGGATTCTACTCTGGTAATTAGATAGCAGTTTGCTGAACACAACTTAGTTGATGAAACCTCTGGAAAATGTAACAATTAAGAGGCAAGGAATGGCAGATTTGCCTCAAAAGCCTGATCCCAACCAGTTGTTGGTGTGGTTTTAGCCTTTCATTCCCCAGTAGAGATGGTGTTGACTCTTAATTTATTTGGGTTTGCTGCTGTTGTTGGACAGCTTGTTCACCCTCTGCTGTCGCAGCAGCTGGTTCCTCTAGGGCATCATCTGAGCTGCAAGGGCTTGAGAAGTGCCAAGTGTTGCTTTTTCAGAAGGCTCTCTGATGCTGCCATCACTGGAGGACAGGAGTGTTTGTCACCCTGAGAATAAATCCCTTGCCCTCCTGCAGTGCTGGGACTGTTGGCTAGGCTGTGTTTGTCTTGGCACAACCTGGCTGTGCCTCCTCTGAGGGCAGAGAATTTCCACCAGGGTTTCTCCCCACACAGCAGCACCTCTGAGCTAGATGTGTTGGAGTGATCACATGAAGCATGTGAGGTTTCCTCACCAGGCACTCTCACCATTTGTGTGCCCTGAAATGAGCATATTAAGAAGTCTCTCTTATGTGGTCCTGGAAATGAGAGACGTGCCAGAATGAATTGTTTTGGTCCATGGCTTATTTGCATTGTGGAGATGTTTGTGGAGTTTTGTTTTGGAGAGCAGTGTTGAAACAGAGCCTGGGAGGAGCAGGAGCCAGGAGGTGGGAAGGGACTTTGACATTCTGTGCTGTGCCTTAGCAATGCTGCTGGATTGGGCAGAGGAGTAGTCAAAGCATCTTCAGTTTGAAGCCATTTCATGCTACAAGCTTTGTTTGGTCTTCTGGGTGCTTTTAGCATGGCAGGTTCAGTACAGGCTGGCACACTTTCCTCAGCATGAATTAACTAACTTCAGAGCAAGGACCACACAAGTTCTGCAGGTTGGAAGGGGCTCAGTCAATGCTCTGTCTTTGTCAGCTGATGGGAGTACAAACCAGGACTAACCAGAGAGAATGGAGTTCAAGCATTGTCTTAAAACACAAACCTGACAGAGGAAAGGTGCTAATCCCAAGCACTTTATATAGACCCTCTTGATCCTATCCACACATGGAAGTGAGGTGCTTTCAGTTGGAAACCATTCCTGTCTTCATTTCTCCACTTCTCCCCCTCCTGTAATGATTCCCTAAGGACAACGATGAGGAGGAAATTAGATTAGACAAACAGTGGGAGACTCCAGGGTTTGCTGTAAAAGCCACCTCCAATCTTTGCTACACTTTGACAGCTCTCAGTTTCTTAATTTGACAAGTTAATGAAGACTGGATTATTCCTGAAGCTGTACACACCTCACTGCTGGGGAAGGGAGGCTGCACTCTGCATCAGGACTACCCACCCCAGCACCTTCCTCCCACCCAGGCTGCAAACCCCATCGCTGGGAGGGAGGTGTGTGCTGGAGCCTGGGGCAGGATCCAGAATTTGCAGTTGTGGTGTCAGTGCAGGGCTCTGCAAGATGCTCCCATGCCAGGAGACAAGTGGACCTGCCTCAGGCATGTGTGTCATCTTCGAGAAGCTATGCTGCAGTGTTTGAACTCCCAGTGTTTGGCTTGGCTGGGCAGTACGTTGTTTCCTTCCACTCTCCCTGAGGCTGTGCAGACAGTGGAATGGGCTGGCTGAGCCAGCCAAGCTAAATACAGCAGGAGACATCCCGCTCGCACCTCCCAGGCACGGCATTCCCAGGGCATCTGTCCACCCACACGGCTCTGAGTCCAGCCTGGTGCTCTGCTCCAAGTCACCAGGCAGGAAAAATGGCTTCAAATGTGGGGGAGAAACTTCTAGCTGTTGGGAAGAATGTCAGGGGGAAGCGCAGAAGTTTTGGAGCGTGTTCCAGTTCCCAGGGTGTCCCTGCTAAGGAGCAGAGTTTCAGGTTTTGCTGATCCCTCTCCAAACTGCCCATTGCAAGCCCAGTGCCTGAGATGTGCTTTGTCTCATGGAGGAACTGGGAGAAAAGCATATCCATCAGCACACTGAGGCTCCATAAATAAGCAAATTGGAGCAGGCTGGAAGCAAA